GTATTTGACTACCTTGGGGTGTTAACTGTTTGCATAAAAAAATCCCATTGCTCTCTTGCAGCAAAAACTCCTAAAGCTAGAGTTAAGCAAAACTTTCACTTATATTGCTAAACACCTGCTATTTTGATCTGCCACGAGGAGTTTGCTTTGCACGAGCCAGCTTCCGAAATCCAGCATGCAGAATCATGCCTACAATAGGTTCAAATCCTTAGAAGATCCCATACACAAGGGATGTCTAGAAATACAAGTAGAATGTATTTCTTGACAGCCGAAAAGCAGTATAAATAGACAAATTTAGCTCAAAAGAAAAAAGGAATCAATTTATTTCAAGAAGTTTAAGCATTTTATCCAAACTCACTTTTCTCCTGAATTTCAGATAACTATAGAACTTCTCAAGAGTACGGGTTAAATCATACAATGTAAGGACTTTTGTTTAATGAATTTTTGTGATTTTGATACACAACACAAAACTTATTTTGTAAGTTTTCGTTATTGGAATAATAATTTTTATTTTCCCGGGGGTGGGGGGGGGGGGGGGGGGGGGGGGGGGGGGGGGGGGGGGGTGGGGGGGGGGGGGGGGGGGGGGGGGGGGGGGGAGAGAAATCCTAAATAACTTAGGAATTGTGCATAAGCCTTCTCAATATGAGAGAATATGCGAAGTATATCCAAAACTCACCTGCATAACTGACACCAAGAGCATAGAAGAGAGCCATTTGAACATTCGAGCATATCAGGATAACAGCAGCTACTGCAAAGATGAAGTCCAATCAACGTTACAAGAGCAAATCCAGTGATTATATTGCATCAGAATGAACAGCAAAAACTAAAAAAAGTTTGGCTTATCTCCACTCAGGAGCTCCAGCTTACAGCTTACATTTCATAGACCATTAGAACTCCAAGCAGATTAATCATTCAAACCAGAGTATTAACCTCTTTCAGTTTTCATACTAAACTAATGATATGTGATTCCTATTCCATTTAAGAGTTCCCCAAATTAAAGAACACCAAGATATATATTGTAGTTGCTCACAAGTACATCAGCTTAAGTTCAACAAATAACATACAGCACAAAAGTTGGATGGAGATTTCGCCATTTTGCATTGTCTATGTTGTTACTATGTGCAAAATACAGGATGATAAGATCCAAATACCATTTATAGGGGTAAAAAATAAATTATCTAGAAAAACTCAGAATTTGTATCTTTGACTGAGCTCCATATGAAACAAGCTCAACCATTACTTCTATCAGAAAATTACTGAAAATATTTCTATAGTTCAAACAAAATAAGGGTGGAGGATGAATCAGATGGATATCTAATGTACAAGAGAATACTAGGTATACAGAAAATGTACAAGAGAATACTGCTACAGCCCAAACACAGAGTTGATTACTCACCACATTGAGCAACACGAATTAAGCACTCCCGAATTATTGGGTATCGATCCAATCCCCACCTTTCACTACAGAACTTAAAAACATCCCATAGTGCCAAACAAGATATCAATCCAACAAGAGCCAGGGGCATCTGATATCTGTAATAATATATTTAAAAAAACACAAAAACAATATCAAATAAGATGAGGAAATAAAAACCTTATAAACTATCAAACCCAAACCACACACCCCCAAAGAGGAAATGCTAAAGAGTACCGACACAGGGAAGAGCGACCAAATAGTTTCTTCTATTTTACAGGACACTGAATAAGACCAGACACCATAGAGGACACAATTAAGCCTATGCCGCCCTCTCACATAAAGGTAAATTGTTGAAAGGAGGCGCACTTGTGGCTTTACTTTTCGTCTCCACTTAACTAGAGAGAAGTGCATTCAGATAGGAGTAAATGCATTCGTTAGCAGGACCTCCTTACAACCTAAACCCCTCAAACCATTCCATGTAGCATATGATTTCTTGAATTTTTATGAATCGCAGCCCCAACCTTTCAACATTGGCAAGACCGAAAATACGTACTCAAGTTATTTAGGCCAAGGAAAAGATATCACAATTTGGAAATTTGACTATTAGATTATTGTCCACTATAGGTCTACCAGACAAATAAGCTTACCAGCCAGCTGATTTAAAATCACAGTATTTATCACACTGTGAAAGGCAAAGTGCAATAAGATACAAAAGGTGTCCAAATTTTCAACTTCCTTACAGTTGCTGAAGTTCTTGCAACAACTAAAATGGAGAGGCACTTTCCAAACTTCCAACTAGAATCCTTAAAATTAAGAACAAGGTATTGATATCAAACCAGGACAGAAAGAAAAACAGCAAAGCCGAGAACATTTACCTTCGTTTCCACAAAACTGCTTGTTTTTATTTTGCACCCTCTTTTGTTGTTTTTCTATTCTATCCTTTTCTTTTATTCAACAACAAACCAAAATCCAATTCTGAAAACTCACCCAACACTCATGAGCCAAAGATAAAGATAAAGAAAGCCATATCATTTGGGAGCTGAATTCCCCCTGAATTCCTAAATTTCCATACAACACAACAGTAATATAAAAAGAACCCAGTTCCCGAAAACAAAAACACCAATCCCATGGCATCTGGAGCCCAATTACCCCCAAGACTTGCTCTTTTTGACCGCTCAGAAATCCCCTAACATCCCTTAATATAAACAGAATACAATTCTCAAAACTGACCCAAGAACCACAAACCATTGAGAAAAGAGAAAGAGAAAGAGAACATACAAAGAGCAAGCAAAGAAGAGCACAAACAAAGTAGCATAATTTCTGGCATAGCGCTTGACATTCTCTTGGACCCTCATGCGAGCCTGAGAAACAGACAGGGGGAAGGAGTAGGAGTCAGAAGACCCAATAAAGATAGTGGTCCAAGGAGGCGTTTGGGCAGCAAGGTCGTCATTGGTGAGCTTGGAGAAGGGGTTGATGGTGAAGAGAGAGAGGAGGGTGAATATGCGAGAGAAGAGGGAGATGAAGAAGCCGTTTGTGATTGAACTTGCGTCTGTGGTTGTGGTTGTGGAGGTGGTGATGGCAGTAGAGGTATGCTGGTCAATGATTTCTGGATAGCCATTTTCGCGGAGCCATGACTCGAAGAAGGGGTCTGGGACGCTGAGAGATAATGGGTTGGAGGTGAATACCATGGTCCTGCAACTTTCTCTCTTCACTTTCTTTTGGTTTGGCTCTGGATTTTGGGATGTTTCTTGTTGTTTCCTTGAAAACATAAATTTGTCTTCTTTTCATCTTTTTTTTTTCTTTTTTTCTTTTCTCTCAAGAATTATATTTACTCATATATTTTGGTGCAGTGTGCAAGTGGTGCATACAAAGAGAATGTGATGTGACACAATTTTGTATCGCATCAAAGAAAAAACATATAATGTAACCCAAAAAGAACCTACTAATTTCTTGTGTGGTAATAGTTTTGTCCTCAATTATGGATGAAGTGTAAGTTTAAATATTTTGTTATAACCAATATTTTCACTAAATTCATCGTGGTACAATTAGATGACTACTTTATTTTCAATTTGATTGATTTTGTGTGCGTACAATATTTGAAATAAATAATTTGGATCATACTTACATAGATGTGTATTAAAATTAGGCGAATTTTTTTATATATAGAAATTATGCGACTGCGTTCATAATTTAATCAAAAAAGTCATTAGTTATAAAAGGCCAATACAAACTAGCCACAAAGAGTTATTACAATAACGGATCGATCTAACATCAAAATTAAGACAATATGATGCGCCTCCACTAATGATCACGCAAGATCAAAGAAACTTTGGCATAGGCATCTAAACTAAGATTGCAAACTCATAACAATAAAAAATAAAAAAGATAAGGCTTAAAAAAAACCTAGCCATAACAATACAAATAAAACTCTCACAAAAGAGATGTGGAAAACTCTCACAAAAGAATAGGTGAAACCTACACATAACACCCAAAGAGTCTCCGAAACTTATTCCAAACATAAAGAAACTGCAAAAAGGATAGTGGTGGAGATCTGACGCCGAGAAGCAGCCACATGTGATGGGTTGAGAAAATCATAACAAAGTGAAGACAAAAAGAGGAAACCTTTGGTCACAAAAAATGAGGGAAGAGAGGAGAAGGGAGGAAGAGAGAATGAGAGAGGGGAGGAAGAACATTGGGTTCCTCCCCCCTCAAAGGGAGTGTTTTTTTGGGGAAGAGGGGACTGGGATGTGAGACCCTGAAAAATTCCAGAATATTTTTTACGCGCACAAAAAAAAATGGAAGGTCCATTTTGAGGTAAGAGACAATTTTTTTTCCAAGTAAATATTGTCATTATGTTTGAGAAAAACTTAATTCCGAAAATATGAAGTTAGAATTTTGATGTTTGACTTCATAGAAAAATAGTAGACGTCAATACAAGCTTGTGGTATTTTTCAAAAAATACGTTCGAGCTCCGAAAAATTATCCGAAAAATACCACAAGCTCATATCGACGTCTACTATTTTCTATGAAGTCAAAACACCAAAATTCTAACTTCATATTTTTGGAATTAAGTTATTCTCAAACATAATGGCAATATTTACTTGGAAAAAATATGCTACTTACCTCAAAATAGACCTTGCAATTTTTACTGTGCGCGTAAAAATATTCTGGAATTTTTCAAGGTCTCACAACTAGGGTTTTTAGTTGCTGATTTTGGGGTGCAGTGTTCCTAACTTTCCATGTGCCATTAGAATTATTTAGTTCCTAACTTCAGATACATGTACTAACACATAAGAAATTAAAATTTAAAAATTAGATTCGTCAAAAGGAGTGTAGTTGATCTCACACCCATTTTTCTCTCCCCTATTCTACACTTCTCCAATTGCTTACTTCCCCCTTTCAAATAAGTAACCATGCCTTATAGTGTATAAATGAAAGAAACACACGAAATGTAAACTTTTCATAATGAGATGCACAAACTATACAAAAATGGTTTTTTTTTTTTTTTTCTTTCGAAATACAAAAATGGTTAAGCTTAAAACTAGTTTATGACGGTGGAGCCAAGCAGTGTTCACTGTTCACCTAAAAAACAAGAGACTGCAACAAAAGCCCCTCCCCCCTCTCACTACTTGTAAAATGTCAGGCGGTTTGCTCAAACAGCTTGCTTACACTCTCAGCTCTCGTTGCTTCACCACCTTCTCTCGCCCTTCAACTCACCCATCGCCCTCTCGCTTCTTCAGAAACCGCAAACTCAGAGAGCTCTCGCAACCCAATTCCCTCGCTGCAAAGTTTTCCACTTCCTCTCCGGAGACTCCCACTCCCTCGGCCGAGCCATTTGCTTCGCCTTTCCTCTCTGTCCAAATTCGCTGCCAAAAACATTTTGCTGTAAGCTTCTTCTTTTCTTTTCTTTTTTTATTACATTTGGTTCAGTTATTACAATTGGGTTCATCTTCATGTCAATTAATATGTTTGGTCACTGGGATTTAAAGGGAAAAGAAAGCAAAAGAAGGTAAACTGATTGTGTGTGGAATTTATTGTATATAATGAAATGGGAACTGATAAAATTTTGATTTTTAACTTACAACTTTTTTTTCCCTTCTAATATCATCTGAATGTGTTACTTAAGGCAGAAATAACTTATTATGTCATTCTGGTTACATTAGGAAGAAAAAAATGAATGTTCTTTGTTCGTTGGAATCATTCAAGTTACAGTTTACATGCCAATCAATAGAAAAGATGAGGTATTGGAAGCAGAATAACACTGTTTAGAGTGGAACTGTTATAATATACCAAGAACTAGACACATGGAGTTTGTACTAGGAACTTGTCAAGTCTATTAACTATTAAGGTTTTGTTGAGTTAAAGACAATGCAGTGCCTAACCCGCTTGGTTCTTGTTGTTGGCCAGGATATGCTTTCAGAGGCTCTTTTATGCTTTGGTGCAAGTTCTACTAGTATCGAAGAAGAAGATAACTATGACGGAAAGGACGAGGTGCACTCCCTCTTGATTTATTACGTTTCATTTGGAATGCTGTTTTATTTCTTTATATTTTAAAAGCTTTTCCATCTTGCTACTTGTCTTGTGTTAGAAGATTTAGTAAATGAACAATGATGAGAATGTGCCTTTTTCTTAAACACAGATTTGCATCGATTCCATATTTCCTGTGGGTGAAGATGTAAATACATGCATTTCACGAGCTTCTGATTCCATAAGCTTAAAAGAGATACCTAGTTATGAAGTTAGGATGGGTGAGCAGTTCGACTGGATAAAGAAAACTCAGGTTAATTTGCTTGTCACTTATGTCTTATCATAAAATGTTGTGTTTTTGTCTTTAGCCTCTTTGGTGCATTATCTATTGCTAAAGTTTGTTGAATGATAAATCAATTTCACTAATAAGAACTGAATTTTAGATCTATTACTGATTTAAACAGCATACAGTTAATAATTGGCCAAAAGAAGTAATGATATACATATAGTTAAGCATGTAGTACTTAACTCAGTGGTACTGATTTACTCTTGGTCATATTTTCTAGGCATTATGTTTTGATTTCCTTTTCCATTTTTTACAGGAATCATTCCATCCTGTTGAAGTTACTGAAGGACTTTGGATTGTGCCCGAGTGGAGAATTCCCCCTGTATGATAGTATCGGATTCTTTTTCTAGTTTCAAATTATTTTTCTAAAGGTTTTTGTTTTGCTATGGTTGCTCATGATATACAGGCAACTCCCTCATTTGTTGAATCTTAATTCCCTCTGTGCCTTTTTGATATTTCAAAAGTGATTGGCACCTAATCACATGCATCTTAAAAGTTCTACTTCTTAATACTCAGAAATTCGTTGTTCACATTTTTCACTTTGTATCTTTATGCTGAAATACTTCCTTCTTGTGCCCAGCTACAGGATACAGTTCTATATCTGAATCACAAAGAATGCTTGTTACAATTAATGTTGACATATGGAATAAATATAGTTATCGTTGCTTAATTCCTACAGGATGCACAAGCAACAAATATAATTCTAAATCCTGGATTGGCATTTGGAACTGGGGAGCATCCGACTACTAAGTTATGTCTGTTGCTGCTTCATGGATTGATAAAGGGAAGAGAACTATTCTTGGACTATGGCACTGGTTCTGGAATTCTTGCAATTGCTGCAGTTAAGGTATTTAACTAATCAAGTGCACTGGCATCCTTTCATTTTCCATTCTCAGGTAAATCTATATTAGGATTGCAGTGTCAAATAATCCATCCTTTTCCTGTATAAACCCTTAGACAGGGCCATCCATACTTGGAAGGATCTAGTGATTAGTTTAGAGGGTTTATTTTTTCTCCAAAATGTTTCTTTCTCAAAGGCAAAGCTCTTTGATGTGTAATTCAATTTGAATATAGAAACTTCAAATGTCAAATCAAGATAGTGAGAAGCCCGTTCTTAGAAATTAACAGTTGGTTCCACTGGTAAATTCTTTTATCATAAGAAAATTGGGATTAATCTCTGCCTTCAGTAGGGATTCTTTATACTGGATTCTTAATAGTTTTCTGAAACTTCCTAGCACATGTGTGAATGTTTCTCTTAAGAATACAGAACTCTTCTATTCTGAAACACATCAAGTAAATGATTATAGTTTGGCTGCAATTAGTAACCTTATTTCTCATGACCGGTTTTACGAATATAAACGTATACAACTTGCATGCTTGTTTTCTTCTAATGCACATTGCTGAGTAACCCCATCCGTATGATCTTTGTGTGTATCCAATATTGTCATTAGCTGTGTGCCCCCTTATTCTTTGAAACATAATTCTTTTCAAATGATGTTGGTTATGCCAACTAGTGCTCAAATCATAGTTTGATGTTAAGTTCACATTTTGACCGGAAATCACAGTTTGGTGCTGCCTCATCAGTTGGAATTGATATAGATCCTCAAGCAATTACCTCTGCACGCCAGAATTCTGCTCTGAACAACATAGGACCTGAAAAGATGCAATTTCACCTGGTACCTAGCCAAAATCGGTCTCCCTTGATAGATCCATGTGGAGTAGTGGAAGATCAGAGCTCATCTAGAGTGGAAGCCATCTCAGAAATAGACAAGTATGACGTGGTCATCGCAAATATACTCTTAAATCCCCTATTAGATTTGGCAGATCATATTGTCTCTTATGCAAAGCCTGGGGCAGTCATTGGTCTTTCTGGCATTCTCTCTGAGCAGGTATTATTCCAGCATAGGTGATAGATTGTAGATGCTTTTTTTTCTTGGAAAGTTTTAAGGTCAAAAATTTCAATTTCATCTCCCTGAGCTTCTATCCTGCAAAAGAAAATGAGGTAGAAGGGGGATAGGGAATAGATTACAGATTACATTTTGCTGGGTAGGTTTTAAGAAAAATTCCAAATTTATCCTTGTGAGCTTGTATCCAGGAAAAAGAAAATGAGGTAAAAGAGGGACAGCTGCCAAGGTTGAATGTCTTCAAATTGTGCATATCTATTTGAATTATACATCTTTAGCTTGGCAGAGCCAATGGTGGTTTTCTTGCCTTTTGTATATATGTCACCATCCGCCATACGAGATGACAGAATCCACCATGAATTTCACACTATTCTAAATAATTTTGTATATTTGATTAGGCATAGGTCCCTGGAGCTGATTTTGTTATGTCCCTGTTTCTGTAGCTTCCATATATCATAGAGCGATATTCACAGTTCTTGGAAGGCATATCAATTACAGAGATGGAAAATTGGGCTTGTGTCCATGGCACAAAGAAACAAAACCTTGCTGGCAGCTAAGAAATCTTTCTGCCACCATAAACCATTGATGGAAGTGCAATTTGATGAACAAGTTGGACAGTATTGTCAATTAGCAGGGCTCTTCGATGAGAAGATGGTGGTGTCTGGTCATTTTACATCATGGAAGCTGGCATTAACAATTCCAACCCGGAACAGGGACATTTGCTGATATTATTTGGGTCATTCAACCAGAAACAGGGCTCTGGCAAAAAATTAAAAACATGAAACAGGGCAACTGCTTTTTTCTCAAGAGGAAAATCACCAGCTGCTTACTGCTATCCTTTAGGGTTGACTCAAAACTACAGCAATCGCATGCAGAAATTCATGTAGCAGTGGACACCACTGAGATTAGTTTTTCTAATTTCTACACACGCACTTGGGATTAGTCTGTCTGAAGCAGCAGCCACCCATGACAACTTGTTTTGAGCTGCCTGCTTGAACAATGTTCAAAATGAAATAGCAGGCAGATCTTGCTCATTCATCTGTCTTTTTATATATTATTTTGTTTCCTTGTAGAGACATTCATCTCATTCCATCATATTATGTGCATGAGGAAGTAGGTCAGATGATCTTGTATAATCAGATTTCTCTTGGCAGAGGAACGATGGCTGATGTTGATTTGTTAGAGAAATCAAAATAAAGTTATCTTCCCAACTTAGATAGTATCCTTGCTAGCATGGTCATTACTCGATGTTTAGTTGGCTCAACAATTAGATTGTGTAAATAATTTCGATGTAGATTACAAATTTGCAAGCAGCTTCAGGAGCAGTATCCTAGCCGCATATCATGTGTGTGTGCCTTTGCCGGTTGCCATTGGGTAAAGCAGTAATCTGTAATGTTAGATGGGAACTATCGTGAATGTTCCTTGACCTAACAAGCTCCTTTCACAAATGCTCAATATATGATACAAAATAAGGGGTGGGAGGATCAAATACAAGACTTTCGTTTCGGATGCAAGGGTATATGCTCTTAAACCACTACAAACCCTTCACACCCCTTCGTGGATCCTTTATACTGAGAATTCGCACAAATGCCAGCGAACCAAAGAGATTTCAGTTATTTAACGGTAGAAAAAGAATTCATTGCACGCAATATATTATTCTGAACAGATTATTAATATTATTATTTATTTTATATTGTGAACAGGTTACATAAACTGGAAACAATTAGAAACAAGAGAAAGAAAGAAATGAAATTTTAGCGAACGTGGATGATATAACAGGAACTATTGAATAACACTGGTGACCAAGTGCATGACGGATGATATAACTACCAAAAACAGCTACTAAACCACAGATTTCTTTGTTCAAGAGGATCAGAATGCCTGCACAAAAGGCCAATCAAGCATCACTTTTCCAAAAGCACACATCCCTTTTTTAAAGGAATATTGTTTGAAGCTTATTGGAAGATCCATCTAATTGTGTTTAGAGCTTTCATCAAGAGCAACTTGTGCACCTGAATGATGATGAGACATCACCGCCTGAGTTGCCTCCTTGCCAGACCAGGAGCTTTCTTAGGGATGTAAACCTTGTAACTCACCTGCAAAAATTATTAAAACATTAAAGCAAACAGTAAAAAATAGACTATCAAATTTTATTTTAAGGTCTGAAAATAGACTACTAAACTTAAATGCTAAAGTGGTGATCGTGTGCCCTAAGGGTACAGCCGGTCGTAAACCAACCTAACTTTCAAAATGACCCAGGGGTATCCTTGAGTCCCCCCTACCCCCAGGGCGGGGGCTGCTAACTAAAGTGTTTTATTAAGTTGCCAGGTAAAAAGAAGTATAAAAATCTGTAATAGATCAAAACACTCACCTGTACCATTTCACTACCTCGCATCACAGACATGGTTTTCTGCTCAAATTGTGAGCCATCCTTACCCTCACCTGACTGTTTATCAGACCCATTCTCTCCCAAAGGTTCAGGAGCAGTACAACCACGATCGTCGTTGATATCATCACCATTACTATAGGTACTTTGGGTTTGGGGCACAGTTTGGGCAGTCTCAGAAGTACTCTTATCTACACTATTCTCAATCACCAATAATCTTTCATGAGGAGGTTCCTGTGAACCAGCTGCTTGTTTCCGTGTGGAATGAGCTTTTGCTGAGTGGCACCTCAATTTTGGTGAAGCCAAGTTCGGTTTATTAAGCACCGCAGTTGTGTCAACCTTTTTGTCGGAATTTCCAAGAGCCACCTGATATGTTGGGCAAGTAACATCTTGCAATTCATTGCTACCACTAGTCCTATCCAGTTCCTTTCCAAGAATTTGGGAAGAAACAACGGAATCTCTCACCGGCGGCACATTGGCCTTTTCTAGTAATTGGGTTGCATCAACCATTTCAGCAGCATCCTCCTTGGAGGACTTTGCAACAACCATTTCAGTAGCACCCTCCTTGGAGGACTTTGCAACAACCGCTCTAGCACCACTCTCCTTTGGGGATTCTATTTGAACAAAATCAGCCTTTACAGTGGATGACTGTTTCAAATCACTATTGCTCTTGTTTTCCTCACTAGTAGTTACTGCTGGAATTCTTTGATGGCTTCCTTTGAACCTTTTTAAATTTTCCAAAGCCCTTTGTCTTAAAATTGACTCCAGATCTTCACCTGGCAGACTACTAATTGCCCCAGAAACCTCTTTCGTATTTTCACTAACAGGACCAGCAATTCCTATTCCATCACGGCTAGAGTTAATTCCATCATCTTGGCCACCACAATCCTTTTCAAAAACGTTACCACTATCTGTGAGATCTTCGATTGGAACATTAGAAACAAGAGCTTTTTCCTCTTTCCCACTCTCCACTCCTGTTCTCTTCTCAACATGTAAATGATTATCCAACTCCCTCTTGCACCCTCCATCATTACTATCATTACTTCTACAAGAAGGGTAATCATCGTCATATGCCATCTCTTCTTTGTGCCCATCCTTATCCATCCATCTGCCATGCTTGTCTTCTTCTGTGACAGTAATAACTGATCTCAACCTCCTCAAATTGTTTTCAAATGTCACTTTTTCCTCACTCTGACTATCACCACCACGCTTGCTACACTGACTGCGCGAAGAACAGCTCCTTGACCTATATCTAGCCCTCTTAGTCCCACTTTCAACCTTGTTAATATCACTTTCACCTCTGTTTCGTTTTCCAGGTCTGCCCCTATGCTTTTTAGATTCAATCTCATCACCACTAATACTTCCACTAGGACAAGTTGAGCAACTAAAAGAAGCACTACTCCTGGAACTAATGCTAGCATTTCTCCTAGGCTTCTTCCTCGAACGGGATTTCTTCCTCACCTCATAATCATTCTTCTTCTTTGCCGATTTCCTCTTCTTTCGACGGGGAGAGTCCTCGCTGCTGTCATGGCTATGGGAGCGTCTGCGAGATCTTTTCTTGCTACCTTTCAGATCCCTCCTAGTGCGGGACCGAGCCCTTCTACTTCTAGAATCATCACCAGAACTAAAAGACGAAACAGATTCTAAACTTCTCGAATCACCGTCATCAGAATGAGAAGGAGAATCATCACGGCAGCGAAGCTTCTTGGATCTATATTTCCTACTTTTAGGCTTACTCTTACTGCTCTTCCTTGTTCCTGCCTAAAAAAAGCCATATAAATGAACATAAATATACAAATTAGCATTGGGCATTGACATGAATCAAACTATAAAATCCTAATATAACATACAATCGTGTTGGTAGACCATATAAGCAAAAGGGCATGGAAAACCAATAAACCAGATGAAGTTAATGCTTAGTTTTTCAACTATTTTTTTAGCACAGCAGCTTGAACTTACAATGCTGCCTAAAATTTTGGTTTTTATTTCTTTTTTCGTTTTCTTTTCTTCCTTATATATATTTGTCAATATCCAAACGGAGTTTTTCGAAGGCTAACCAGCAAAAAGATCTAATCTTTTAAGCAAGGAAATAAAACCCATTTAAAGAGGACTATGAAAACCAAAAACGAGAACCCTAAAACACGACAACAGGAAGAGAGAGAGAGAGAGACCTGAGAAGAAATCTTGGCGCGTTTCTTTCGATGAGAAGAAGAAGACTTGCCCATTAGGTTAAACCTGCAACAATCAAAATTATTAAAAGCAAATTAAGATTACAAGGAAAAGAGAAAGGAGAATGGGTTATTCTTATTGATTGAGAAGTTGAGGAATTTGAGATTTTAGGTTAGTTCTCTGTTTGTTTAAGGATTTCGTTTGTTTAGGCTTTCTGGCCTAATTTCCTTCTATCTGCTTTGTTTGGCCTCCGCTGCACCTTATATATGTAATAAATACGATGATTCCTTTTTCTTTTTGGACCGGGATCGCTCTAGAAACTTTGCATTATATTGTCCTTTTCCTTTATTTATTTTATTTTATAGAAAATTGTTTTTCTTTTAATTTTATCAAACAACGATATTGATTAATAAAAAAAAACTTCAGTAATGTCAAAGAAGTGTACAAAACAAGAATATCAAACAAGATTGCAAAAGCAACAACTCGAAAAGGAAAAATAACACAAAAGGGACAACTAAATCCAACAAAATTCGTGTAAACAACTAAAAAACTCAAATTAAAAAATTGTAGGATTAAGCCAGTTGGCTAGGGCAATAAGTGTGTTCTCTTGCACTCAAGTTCGGATGCCTCTTCCCTTATATTAGATTAATTTAAGTAATTTAAACTATAGATTGTATATTGAAAAAATGAAGTATTAATCTACAGTACTCTAAACTATAGCTTGTATTAAAAAAAATTTGAAGTGGTTGTGTTTCGAAATTTGAAGTTTGATAAATAAGTCACATATTTACTTCTAACCATGATCCAGAAACCCTTATAAGCAATAACAAATGTGGTTGGTTCCTTCAGATCCCACACACCAGGTAATTGGATCATATTTGAGTTCTTTTAGCTTAGTTTGATATTTTGGAAACATTGAGCCTCTTCTTGATCAAAATTGTGAAGATGCTAATTACGTCCAGGAGTGAGGTTCCATGCAAATCACTGAAAACTGAAAAGGAAGGCATAACTTTTACCACAAACACTTCACATCTGAGTCATTCAAATACCCTTTTTATTAAGTCATTTATTCGAATACTATTACAAGTACATAAAAACAGTGCAGCTGTTCTGCATGTATTGTCTTGCCTAGTGTCTGGTACAAACTACTCACGGAACGAAATTCAGATCCTAAGCATCATCAGCATCACTACTCATGCTAGGACGAGAATCAACAAAGAACTCTGTCGAAAAATCTACTTCGTCGATGATCGTCCCTCTGCATTATTTTGAAGGCAAAATAAGGATGAAAGTTAAGCATATCATGCTTACACCAAAATGTGGAGGGAAGGCTTATACCTCTCAAGGACGAACTTCCCCTCTTTGTATTTCTGGCTCTTCTCATGTGCAGATTCCTGCATATGGAATCAAAAAATGGTTTAAGGGGTATGAAGTCACAAAAATTACACAGTATAAGACTCTTGTGTGTGTGTGTGTGTGTGAGAGAGAGAGAGAGAGAGAGTACATATTTCCAGCCAACGATTTGTCCACAACAGCAGCAAAATATATCAGCAACAGTATGGAGACCTGAGAGCATCAACCTCTCCTCTAATGCTCCAATAGTGGTATTCACCCTGGAATACAAACTCCAAGGCATTTATCCGTATCTATCAGATTGCAATCCAATTTAAGCTTCCCAAAGAAATAATTGAAATGCCATTAGTGTGACCTTTTTTTTTCCTATATCATGGATGGAATATGAGCCCATGGTTTTTATCTCAATCCACAGCTCTCTCCTAAAATCTGAGAAGGTAAAAGTTCCTACATTCTCTATGGATCATTAAGTTGTCGAGTTGAAAGTATGGCTTACCTTATCATCAAAGGGGGAAATTATTTACATTATATCAAAAGCCAATCCTATAGATACAAAACCAATTTTCTGAAGGGTTAATAGAGCAGTAATATATAATTGGAAGTTGCTCCCTAATGGTGGGTTTCATTTTCTCCTATTTCTGACTTGGTTTTCTTTAGCAGTCTATTTACTGAAACTCTTTTCCAGTTGATCTCGGCTTGCTCCATCTAGTCTAAATAGGAAAGACCTTCTACTGGGGTGTCAAGAGTACTACAATTGTTCAAGTGTCTAAATGGTCTAGCTCCAGTTTTTCCAGTTGAACATTGCAGGGGAGAAGCAATGTTCCTATTCTCTTGAACTCCAGAAAGTGAATCTAATATGAAGCCACTTCCCTATTGGTGTGATCTGGGGTTCATTCCTCTCCTGACAAGCCAATCTCTCTGGGGTGTCCATTGTTGAGTCATTACCAATCTATTTTTGTTTGATCTTGGCTTGCCTCTTTTATTGCAAAATGAGAAAGTCATTTCATTGTGTTGGGGCGCCAAGAGTACGAGAAAGTCATTGCTTATAAGGGGATCTGGAGTTTCATATGCACATTATAGGAAAATTAAGCAGATAACGATTTGATTTCTCAAAAAAAAAAAAGATAATGATCAGCATGCGCTAACAGTTTTATAAACAGATATAATGAAGAATATTCAAGCAGCAGAACCCATGGCACCGAAGCAAAAACCCAAGATATTCAAACTCAGAAAGAGAAAACTAAATAACTTAATGAGTAACAACAATAAAGATTGTGACTGCTTGCATTATCAAAGGAGCATTAATAATTTAATATGTCTAGGAATTCCTATAAACCTAAAAAGCAGGGACAAAGGTGCTACTCAGACAGTACGAGACATATAAAGCAGAAACATTTGAGTTTTCATCAATGTATGTGTAATCAACCCCACAAACTGAATGTTGAGTTGAGGAAAATTTCACCAATGTGAGTTTAACCTTTGTTGAGAACACCAATGTATTTGCGACCCAGGTTGGTTGAATGGCAGAGTAAAAGTTGAACATCTAGCTATCCACATGGAGTTAATGTCCTAGACAAAGACACTGTGGAGCCATCCTATAAAGATAAGTCAGTTTCATCAATCTAAGTAGTGAAACAGCTTGATGAAGAGAGAACAAGATTAGAAGAGCCCTAACTTCACTCAACAATCAGCAGCACCAATTCCCTCTCCATTAGCATCCATAAGATTGACTCCCAGATCCTAATAATAGAAATTTCTATTTAGGAGGAGGGTCGACAGAAATTTCTCCAACTAAAAGCATAGGCACTCCAAAATAATCTCTAATGCTACTCTTCTTTATCCCTTGTTCTCATCTAACATCCTGGGATTGATGGTCTTAACTTTACCAGGAATGACTCTGCAGACAACATGTTACAAGTAGAGACCACTGCAGCACTGCCCATCCACCAGAGCAATCAACAGAACACCACCCATATTCTAGTCATCACTAAGGAGCCCACCTCTTATAATTAGTATTTCTTGTTAAAATAAATCAAATGGGCCCCCCAAAGAACATGACTGCTAATCTCAAGATCTAGTGAAACTCAAGTATATCTTTCTCAGCAGCTGAAACCCTCTTAACAGGGAAGTATTTCAGAACATGCATAACTTAGCCAAATCCTCAAGGGAACTTTTTTATTTCCTCAAAGCTTTTATATCAAACTTCTCCATTTAAGTAATCCTTACTGAATTACTCATTAATAATTTAATATGTCTAGGAATTCCTATAAACCTAAAAAGCAGGGACAAAGGTGCTACTCAGACAGTACGAGACATATAAAGCAGAAACATTTGAGTTTTCATCAATGTATGTGTAATCAACCCCACAAACTGAATGTTGAGTTGAGGAAAATTTCACCAATGTGAGTTTAACCTTTGTTGAGAACACCAATGTATTTGCGACCCAGGTTGGTTGAATGGCAGAGTAAAAGTTGAACATCTAGCTATCCACATGGAGTTAATGTCCTAGACAAAGACACTGTGGAGCCATCCTATAAAGATAAGTCAGTTTCATCAATCTAAGTAGTGAAACAGCTTGATGAAGAGAGAACAAGATTAGAAGAGCCCTAACTTCACTCAACAATCAGCAGCACCAATTCCCTCTCCATTAGCATCCATAAGATTGACTCCCAGATCCTAATAATAGAAATTTCTATTTAGGAGGAGGGTCGACAGAAATTTCTCCAACTAAAAGCATAGGCACTCCAAAATAATCTCTAATGCTACTCTTCTTTATCCCTTGTTCTCATCTAACATCCTGGGATTGATGGTCTTAACTTTACCAGGAATGACTCTGCAGACAACATGTTACAAGTAGAGACCACTGCAGCACTGCCCATCCACCAGAGCAATCAACAGAACACCACCCATATTCTAGTCATCACTAAGGAGCCCACCTCTTATAATTAGTATTTCTTGTTAAAATAAATCAAATGGGCCCCCCAAAGAACATGACTGCTAATCTCAAGATCTAGTGAAACTCAAGTATATCTTTCTCAGCAGCTGAAACCCTCTTAACAGGGAAGTATTTCAGAACATGCATAACTTAGCCAAATCCTCAAGGGAACTTTTTTATTTCCTCAAAGCTTTTATATCAAACTTCTCCATTTAAGTAATCCTTACTGAATTACTACTTTTTAGAAGTCCAAACATAATTTCTTTTACTAGCCACATGGAAGAGCCAGCATAATCGTGGAGACCTGAATTGTAATATCATATCAATATTTAGCAGAAATCTCATGTCAATAAACCTATCAACCATAATAAATTTAGGGGATATAATCAGCTAACTATATGCTGAAAACAGCATGAACTATTTCTCCTGCAACGTACTTTGTGATGACAATTATAAACATAATCCTAATTTATAAATATTGGAAGTACAAAACTATTCAAAAACTAAAAGATGGAATAATTGAGTATAAGAATGCTGCTTCAGTTTAAAATTGCATGTTCTTGTTCACCTAAACTAAAGATCATTTAGCTAGCTTCATTTGCATCTTCCCAAAGTGAACGCCACACTCTTATAATAATGAATCCTTGTACAATTTCAAAGAGCTGTGCTTCTAAGAATCAAGAATAACAAAGAATAATTTGAAGAACTAACAATTTAAGCAGTTCTACTTACATAGAATGCAGGATGATAAATAATAAACCCATAAATTGAAACAAACTGAACGCTTGACAAATATAAAGCATATTTCTAAAATCAGATATCCACAAAAGATGAAGAACTCACGCATTATTGAAGAGGTATGCTTTTCCCCGGCGACAATGAAAAGCCTGAACAAATCACAAGGAAAAAATGAGACCTGAAAGAGTTTAAAAAGCCAACAGAACAGTTCAAATACATATGCTGC